TTGCTTAGTGATGGTATATTCTACATGCATCCTACAATTAAGAGTCCATGAAAGGTGGAACTAAAGATAACCCAAAGACACATCCTCAGAGGAGGCTTCTCTTATTGTGGCTGAAGTAATTGCTTGTTCTGTTGACTCTGATATTCAGGTACCTAATTTGCTGCCAAAAGCCAAAGAGTTACTGTTGAAACGTAAAAAACGTCTTCAGCTATTGTCATTAATATAGTATTATCTATCTTGATGAATTATTTCTTTTTTCATCCCTCTTGGTGATGTGGAGTTTGTTTCAATGAAGGTCTCAAGAAACTCATCTCTTTTTTGGGACCAGAAACCCAACAAAAGAGGCTCAAGACAGTCCGAAAAATTCTTATGGGAGATTTCCATATTTGTTATGGAATGTTAACGAGCATGGATCATGTATTGATGCAGCAATCACTAGCATAAATGCCTCCTCCCTTGATGTAACTCCAAGTGATTCCTTATGTAACTTGCTGTAATTAGTTCACACATGTTTTGTATAGGAGTTCTTCTAATGGTATAAGGTTCTGAATAGCTATTGGCTACATGCTTTCTAGAAAACAGTTTAAACATGTAGAAGAGTTCTTTTCCTTGTTTTATTTTTCATTTCTTCCTACTTGTTTGTAGTCTGCCTAATAAATAATAGAAACTTTCTAAAGTTATTCTATTATTTGAATCCAACTGCTCTTATTGTTGGCCAGTCAACGTTGATAGTCACTGTTGGAGACGATACAGTAATCTCAGCTTTTAACCTTTTAGTTCAGTTTGCAATATGATGTGCAAGTCATTTCATAATGGATTGACTCTTTTGTGGATCTTCCATTCTCATTTAGTCATTTTCTTTTATGGTGGTATTTTAATAGTAAAATCTCATTAACTAAATTTAGTCTCATCTCGTTAGATTTTCAGAAGATAGATGTAGGTCCTTAATATGAATCATTTTGTCAAAACTTATATGGGCAACATTTTCTTTGCTTCTTCTCCTAAGATGATATGGTGGAGTTAACCAACTACAAAATGATATTTGAAAGT